TGGTTCAATACAGATTGGAAGTGCTCAGCCCATCGCTGTAGAATCAGAGTCTTCTCAGTAATGAGAGTTGCACCATCTGAGTCCAGTAGGGGGGAGCTCCCTGAGGGCTGAGGTCCGTACAAGGATCTGAGGGCTTCGTAGAACCATTTAGCATTGGTTTTTATAAGCAAACTTCTGAATTTCATCTGCTTTGGTACTCAACCAAGAGTCCTGCATCTTGCGAAGCTTGTTCTGTACAGTCCTGCGAGTGTTGTTGAAGGCATTTTTCTTAGCTGTTGACGACAGGTCATTCTGATAAGCATGGGTGAAGGCAGTGCTTTTCAGCAAGTAGGGCCTTGATCTCTTCATTGTTTTCATCAAACCAATCCTGCTGTTTCCTGTGTGAGGGTCCAAGAACATTTAATGCAACAATATCCCGAAAGCGTTCCCAGTCCTTCTCAGCATTTCCCTCTAATTGCAGCTCTGAGAGTTAGTTGTCAAGATCTTCTGGTAGTGAAACTGCTGTGTTGGGGTTCCTCAGTTTACTGATGTTGATCTGTTTCATCACAGCTTTGTTTCCCTGCGGACGTCTCTTTGGCTTGATGTGAAAGCTTAATTTGGAGATGATGAGTCTATAGTCAGTCCAACAGTCAGCGCTCGGCATGGTCTTGGTCACCCTTACATCCTGTCTCTCTTTCCTCTGCACAATGATATAATAAGATGCCAGTGCTTGGAGCACTGGAGGACTTTTTTTGCAAATGGGCAGGCGAAAGATGGTATTGGTGAGCCGCATGTATTCAGTAATAATAGGGCCATTGCTGTTACATTTGCCGATTCCATTTTTTTCCAATGACGCCATCCCAGGCAGAGTGATCGGATCCTACTCTCGCGTTGAAATTGCCAAGTAGAGTCAGCCTGTTGGTGCACTTCACAGATGAAAGTAGGGCATTGAGATCTTCATAAAACTTTCCCTTTACTTCATCTGGATTCGTCATTGTAGCTGCATAGGTGCTGATCAGTGTGGCTTGTTTTCCTCTTGTTGGTGGGAGATTCAGTGTCATGAGTTGGTCATTCACTCCCTTGGGAAGACTGGCAAGTTTGTGGACGATTCTTAACCGCAAAGCCAACTCCAGATTTACAGCATTCGTAACTGCTGCGTCCACACCAGAAGAATGTATAACCACTTCCTGTTTCTGTGAGATGACCTTCGTTGACTAGACGAGTTTCACACAGGGCCGGAATATTGATGTTTAATTTTGCCAGCTCTCTGGAGACCAGGGCTGTTCTTTTTTCTGGTCGATTTGCTTAGGGTTTGTCTTGAAGCATACATATGTTCCATGTGCCAATGGTGAGTGGTGTCATCTTACATTTTCTTTGAAGTTTTGTTATTCAACCGCATGAAATGGGATCCCCTCCAGCCATGATAAGCTGGCCAGGATTCTATGAAGGAGCAATGTTTAGGGCACTTTTTCTAGCCTCTTCCTCTTACTACGGAGGTGAGCAGTACGGTCCTAAAGAGGGCTGCTCAGTCACTCAGGTAGATGCTGAATCCAGCTGTTGCTTTGGTCAGCAAGAAGATGACCATTAGACCTGAGTTGCCTATGTACAGGTCCGCGGCTACAGCTCCCAGTGTATCCACAACTGCTGCTTCGTCGCTTACCCATCACCACAGGACTTTGAAGGTTCACAGGAATTGGGAGACGTCAAGACTTCTGCATGAATTGGACTAAAGTAAGGGAGAGGTGTACATAATCAGCCTCACACTCTCTTCCTAGATTCCATCTTGCTCCAATATACACATCTCCACAAGTATGTAAAAATTGTTAAAACTAAACATTCACACTTTATCACATACTTTATTTATTTATTTATGTATTGGTTCGATTTATATGCTGCCCTTCTCCGGAGACTCAGGGCGGCTTACAATGCATTAAGCAATAGCCTTCATACTTTTGTACATACCTGGGGGCTTTTGGCCCCCACTAAGCGATGTTCTTTTTTTATACAAAGTCAGGTTATTGCCCCCACAATCTGGGTCCTCATTTTACCTACCTCGAAAGGATGGAAGGCTGAGTCAACCTTGAGCTTGGTGAGATTTGAACTTACAGTAATTGCAGGCAGCTGGTGCTACTTAACAGCACTTTAGTCTGCTGCGCCACCAAGGCTCTACTTTACTATCAGTGAGAAATGGCAAAGATTTTACAGGAATATTAGCAGTTGATTATCGACATCCACATTAAATCAAAGGGTACTTGCTGAAACAAACATTTCAAACAAGTTCCTTTAGTTGTAAAAAAAGCTGTAGACTTGTTTTCACAGGTGATATGAATTACAGCTGGTTTTACAGTGCAAAATCTGTATATCCTTGTTTTTATAAAAGATTAATACAGGAAAGATGTTTTAAAAATAAAACTGTCATGATGATGGATTGATAGCATCACATACCAAATATCTATTTGGTGGGGAGAGGAGAAAAGCAAAAACATTGGCCAGCTAATTAAATAGCCAAGAGTAAGGGATAAATTAAGTGAGATAGCAACAGAATGGAAACCAAATATACTTTTACACATCCATGTACTTTTTCTTTGATGCAAGGTCCAAATAAAATAACTTCTTGTAATCAAGTCCTATTACTCCATCAAGTGGAAAACAAGGAAAATGCATTTGTGAGAACTGAAAATATTAATTCAATTGTTACATTTTTGTTGTCTTTTTTTTAGATCTCTAGCGACTTCTATATAAACAACTATATAACAATGTTTTGAAGAAAGGTCTTGTAACTGAATCCACCTCTATTTGGTCTCAACATGCAACATTGTGGATTTAACTACCCCCTTAATGTTCCTTATTTAGAAAAATACACTAGCACTAGATAGGTTTACTTTACTTTGTCATCATGCCAATTTCTGTTGTGGATTCATTCATAGTCTTGCAATACACAAGCCGCTGCTAATGCCAAGAAGTAAGTATTGTCAAGAAGCAGTTTCCTACATCATTCTGAAAAAGGCAGTGGTTGAACAAAATGCAACATTAGGGTTCAACTGCATCAAAATGCATTAGTTTTGCAAATTTTGGAGCACCACATGTCTTCAACTGCTAAAAACAAAAATAGTACAATAATTGCTAAAATAGAGAATGAGTAATATTGGCTTTGTTCGAATGCGTAAGGTATATTTTAGTAATTTAAATCGGTCTGTTTTTAATATGTTTATTATTAAATTTGTATCCTGCACAATTCTGATTTTGGGCAGCTCACAATAAAAATATTTTTAAAAAATATACCATCAGAAATAAAAATAAAAAATAAAATTATTACAGGTCCCATTCTAATTTCCATGTTAAAATCTTATGTAAGTAGCTTAGTCATTCAGCATAGGAAATATCTGTGAGAGCAACTGTTCATATTTTCCTTATGGAATAGCATCTTAAGTAGGATTCTGTCAGGTCAGAAAAAGAAAAGGAAAGAACAATGCTGTCACTTCTATCAAGAAGTTAGATTCTTCAGATAAGCCTTTCCCCAAAAGTCATTCATCAGACAATAGGAGAATTTGCCCTCTGCTTCCAGCTAACATGATTATCAGTGTCAACTGCAAATTCTCATAATGTCAAAGTGACATGTGATGAATAGTGATGTCATCACACAAATACATAAGTTATGACATTTGCATGATGACACTGCTGCACAATTCCTCATTTGCCATGTTTCTTAACAGGTCTGCAATAACCACCTTCAGTAATGATGTTAAGAAGATGGCATAATTACCAGCTATGATAACATTTATAAAAAAGTTGAGTTATTTATTTAAGTGATGTATGTCTCAGCTGTAAAATCAAAGTCAAAGTGATGATCTCTTTTTACTCACCTGAGAATCACTTTCTAACTAAAACATAAATTGTAAGCATTTTAAATACCATAAATATATTATTTCAATATGTCTCAAGAAGACAATTACTATTTGCTATCTGCATTATGATCTAAATTTTATGGGATTTTCTAAAAGCTGGCTCTGCCTTTATTGCAAGTAAATCACAGGAAAAGATTGGCTGTAACATAAAAACCCTAATGGGCCTCAATCTATCAGCATTTAGATGAAGAAGATAAGTTAGTTGATAACAACTTTCCAAAATATACTTTTCTTCAGCTTGAAATTCTATATTTTCATCCTATGATACACCTACTTACATACCCATCTTCCTTATCTATTCAAAAATACTTTTACTTCAGTTTTTCATTTACAGGAATAAAAGCACTGTGTTAGATGCAAGTTTTATCATATTTAGAATTAACAACTGAAATCAAGAAGTGTCACAATCAAATTCTAAATGTAAATCTACATCAATCTATTCCAATTTCTAAAATAGCACCTGTGGCAACACTGAATAAAGAGCCAAGTAACTTACAGAAGCCTAACAGTTAAGACATTAGAAATTATTTTGCTTTGCAAGCAAAACATTTTGCACATTATTTAGATAAATATTTCTCAAACTATTTACATATGGTATTGGACTGCAATTATCAAAATTCCCAACCACCGTAGCCAAGGAAATGTGCTCAACATATTAGAAAGCAAAGGTTGGGAAAAGCTAATTTTAAAAATGGATTAAAACATATCTTCAGAAGAAAGATCTGGCTTTCCTCATAATAATTTAACAAAATTTCTGAGAAGAAAAAGTTACTTGTTATAAGATCATTAATAATCTTATTTGGCCTATTTGAATAGGTGGATTGATGATAGGACAATATTTAAAGTTTCTCTGTCCCATATAGAAATCAAAATCAACACCTGAAAACCAATAAATGATTGAGTATCAGAGTACAGTACAGTGTCTTATATAGCCTGCTCTGCACTTTTGACCAATTATCAGTTATGTATGTTTGGCAAAGACAGCCATGTCTAAGTAAATGTGAGATGCATTACTTGAGTGACATAATTCTTATCCAAAACAATTAATTTTCTTTGACTTCAATAAGCTAGTCGAAGGAACTTAGCTGAAATGCATTAAAAATAAATAAAGCATACCTATGGATATTTTGCTGTTGGATAAACTCTCCATTTATTAAACTTCCTTGGGATTCAACCTGAAAGGAAGCCAAAACAAAGAGATCCTATTGGCTTTTTAAAGATGTGCCTCACTTGTACAAAGAAAAAAATAAACCAGTTCAAGACATACCAAAAATGCTTAGTATTAATAAAATATTTTGATTTTTTTAAAAATTTGCAGTTGCATTTAATTTCCCTTTCAGAATCCCATAAAAGTGTCTTATAAACACCATGAACAATATATTTATATATATTGTTCATATATATATTGTTCATACATATAGTGTTGGAATCTGTCCCATATAATTGGAGCAGACTTCTGGGCTTTGGATATTCTGAATGACTATAAATTGGGATTTAATTTATTAATTTATCATATTTGATTCTTCCATTTGATATATTAAGCTCACAGTGCCAAATTCATTATATAATACATATTGTAGAAGCATCCATTGACTAAGAAGGACACATATATTGTTTGGATCAGGAAGCGAGAACAGGAAACCACAATTAAAATTGCAGTGTTATACACAGTAATCTGAAAGTAACCTCTAGAAACAAACATTTGAACAATGTTTAGTGCACAATGAATATTTTACAAGTTAGACAGAAAAATACTTAATATGGTTTAACTAATTGTTTTTACTGGAATACTGGAAAATATTTTGAGACATGATAACTGAGTAATGTTTTCTTATCCTATGTAAGTATTAATGAATTATCTGAAAGCATACCACTTTAAATATGCTTTTGTTTTTCAGATCCATGCAAAGATGTTTCCTGACCATATTATTCATTATGCATTTTTATAAAATAGTTCTTCCTGAAGAAACAATATTTTAAGAAATAAGGCGTTGGTCTTACCTGATACTCTCCTTCTTGTTGGGTGGACATAACAGCCAGGAATGAGTTGACTTCATCTCCTAGCTGATTGGAGTGAGTCTGTCAGAGCTGTGAAGACACATCTCCATTACCAATGGTCCCCAGCTTTTGGTGAAGGCATAACAACAGACTGACATGTCTCCTTGTTAATGGCGTCCACCTCTGGACTTGGGACCAGACAGTCTCCAGGGTGGGGCTGAATGCTATCTCCACCTAACGAGAAGGAGAGTATCAGGTAAGACCAACACCCCTTCTCCATTGTGGTGGAGATAGCATCCAGGAATGGGACATACCAAAGCTGACTTGTCCAACGGATGGGCCGCAGTCTGGTCTGAAGTCCCCTGATCAGAGTGGACCCTCTGGAGGACTCGCCTGCCAAAGGCCGCTTCAGCCGAAGCAAAGGTATCCAGGTTGTAATATCTGATGAAAGGGGACGGAGAGGACCATTTAGCTCCATGATGACGAACCTGATTTTTGGGCCCACCAGAAGTAGGGAAACAGGCTATTCCCTGCCTCCAGAGGACCTTGGGGGGGGAGGGAAGGACCGTTTTTCTCTCTCCCTAACCTCCAGAGCCTTTCTAGGAGTCTGGGGAGGGCGAAAACGGCCTTCCCCACACACCCCCGGATGCCCTCTGGAGGCCAGAAATGGCCCGTTTGCCAACTTCCGGTGAAAGGCTCTGGAGGCTGGGGAGAGAAAAACGGGCCTTTCAGTCCCACCAGAAGTTGGCAAATGGGCCATTTTCGGCCTCTGGAGGGGTGGGGAAGGCCGTTTTCACTTTTCCCAGACTTCTAAAAAGGCTCTGGAGGCTGGGGAGAGCAAAAAACAGACCTACCGTGCCACCACGACAGGAGCGGGGGGAGCGGGGGGGAGGTCACGCGCGGATGCATGGGGGCAGGGCACATAGAATTATGGGTATGGGCACGCGCGCGACCCCTCCCACTCCTGGCACGCGATGGCAAAAAGGTTAGCCATCACTGATTTAGCTACTCAACAAATCTCCTCGATAGAGGCGTGCATCGCCCACACTGCTGTCAGTGTGGAATGCGTGGAATGGGTTGTTACCCACTGAGGCAATGGAAGGGCCTGGAGTTCGTAGGCCTTGGTGATGTACGTCCAAATCCAGCAACCCGCAGTCGATGGAGTGACCTTGTTGTCCAGGGTAGAGGGCTGGAAGGACACAAAGAGGGACTCCCTCTTCCTGAAGGAGGAAGACCTCTTAACATATATTTGGAGGGCCCTCCTTACACCCAAGGTGTGCCACTTCTTCTCCAGGGGTGTACTGGGCCAAGGCAGAAGTTGGGCAGTATAAGTTCCTGAGTCCTGTGGAACCAGTTCATCTTGGTGAGAAAGGAAGGGTCCAATCACAAGACCACCCTATCAGGATGGAAGATGTAGAGGTCCTTCCTAACAGAGTGGGCCACCAACTCTGAAATCCATCTAGCCGATGTGAGGGCTACCAAGAAGGCTACCTTGCAAGTTAGGAAGCATAGTATGGCCGATCTCAGTGATTCAAAAGGGGGCCTCGGTCAACGAGTGCAGTACCTTGGTCAGGTCCTATGTAGGATACCTGTGAACCACTGGAGGCCGTAGATTTGTTGCACCCCTAATGAACCTGTGCACAGTCAGGTGATGAGCAAGGGACTCCAGATCCCTGCAAGATAGGACCGAAGACAGGGCAGCCACCTGTCGACGGATAGTGTTGGGAGATAGCCCCTTGTCTAGCCCTTCCTGGAGGAACTCCAATATCTGGGCCACGGATATTGATGCAGAGTTCAAACCCGACTTGAAGCACCAGGCACAGAAAGCTTTCCAGGTCACATCATATACTGTATTTTTCAGAGTATAAGATGCTCCGGAGTATAAGACACACCTACCTTTTTGGGGGAAGAAAACAAGAAAAAAAATCTGTGTCTGCCTCCCAGCAATTTGCCTCCTTCCAGCAAACAGTGGAGGTCCTTGTGACAATAGGCAATGGCAATCCCTGCAGCCTGAAACAGCCAATCCAACCAACAATCAGCTGCTTGTGGTAATCAGGCTGTGCTGAAGCTGATATGGGCTGATATGCTCCTTGCTGCAAGGAGGTAAATTGCTGGGAGGCAGAAGCCAAAGGGTGGGGGCTGGTGGGTGAGGCTATATTCGGTGTATAAGATGCACCCAAATTTTCACCCTCTTTTGTGGGGGGGGGGAGTGCGTCTTATACTCTGAAAAATATGGTATTGGATTGATGGAAGGTCTCCTTGAGGCCTATATAGCCCTGGAGAAGTCGTTGGGGTCACAGATTGCAAAGAGCATTGATCCCCTCTACCCCTGGTACCGCAAACCTTGTGAAGAATCTGGGCAGTTGTGTGTTGTCCTGAGTGGCGAACAGGTCCACAGCAGGCTGTCCGAAGCGATCCATCAGCTGTTGGTCTGGCGCCAATCCCTCATCTTCTGAAAGTTCCAGATCTATACGTTCCTCCTCCTCCGAGAGCGATGATTGGCTCTTCTCAAGGGAGTTGGCGAATAGGGCTCTGGGAATGTGTCTGGGATGCTTGAACTTTTCCCGGCTGCAGGGAAAATACAGAGGCCGCTCTGCTTTGCAGGCCTGCAGAGATGCCCTGCTTTATGGCTTCCACAATCACCAATTGCATATTGGAAGGGATTTCAAGGACTGGAGCAGCCTCTGATCTAAGCCCAGCTGTAGTGGGGGTAAATGTTGCCTCAGCAACATGTATCTCTTTTTAAAAGGTTGCTCCCCTTCTCCTGCTGTGGAAGGCAGGCCTGACAGGGAACTCCAGTAATTTTCCTGATTAACAAGCAATGAAGGTCCTTGATGAAAACTCTGCTCAGCAGTGCCCTCTGGTGATAAACCCTGTGAGTACAGCCTATTTGGTAGGCTTGGATCACTTTGCTCCAACTGCTGTGGACCCTGATGGTGGGCTTACATGGTGGCTGGCAGGGATGGATCGGTGCCGCCTGCCATTTCGCCTCCATCAACCGTCGCCATCTCCGCCATTTTGAAGACCGGCCCTGAGCGCAATTTATTCCCTCAGGAACTCAACTGCTGGCCCGGTCTAACGTCAGGGAGTATGCTTGTGGAACTGGCAGGGATTCCACTATCACCCAGAGAAGTAGGAAGGCTCTCAAGGGACTGGTGCAATCCCTGCGATGTCCAAGAGCCTGTGAGCCCTTTCACACCTTTTTTTAAAGTCTCGGGTGATTTCAGCGGCTTTTTGCTTGCAGCAGATCTTCCTGCCGGGTTATTTGAGACATTTTAAACTGGAGCACAAAAGTTCCAAAAATGTCTCTGAGCCCCTGGGGTTAGCGGCGTGGAGCCAGGCTTGTTCCCGCAACCCCGCAATCATGAATACCTGAAGTCCGGCGACCAGCTGCCCTCAGCGGTTCGAGCCAAAGCTACTACCACCGGAAAAAGCCTGGCGGTTCTACCGGTCAGACCAGTTGAGAAACCTGTCTCAGTGGTGAAATTCAAAAATTTTCTTTACCGGTTCTGTGAGTGTGGCTTGGTGGTCATGTGACCAGGTGGGTGTGGCTTGGTGGTCATGTGACCGAGAAAACCAACTATCACACTTTACACAAAAATAACACAAAAGCTACACAACTGACTCACACACAATGCAAAAGCAGCTGGACTTCACAGAAAATGGCCCCTGCAACTAGCAGGAACCTCACAAAGTCACAGAGAGCTCAAAAACAAACTATCACACTTTACACAAAAATAACACAAAAGCTACACAACTGACTCACACACAATGCAAAAGGAGCTGGACTTCATACAAAATGGCCCCTGCAAAAAGCAGGAACCTCACAGAGTCACAGAGAGCTCAAAAATAAACTATCACACTTTACACAAAAATACCGGTTCGGGCAATAGGTAGTAAAAAATGCTTTAAAAAGTTTAAAAAAAAAGTCCCCACAATTGTGTGACAGAGCTGATTGTGGGAATGTTTTTTTTTTTTTACTTTTTAAAGCATTTTTTACTACCTATCTCCCAAACCGGTAGTAAAAAAAATGCTTTAAAAAGTTTTTTAAAGTTCCGAAGATCAGCTGTGCCATGCAATCCTCGGAACTTTTTTTTTACTTTTTAAAGCATTTTTTTACTACCAGCTCGGGCAAACCAGTAACATTTTCACTACTGGTTTCCGCGAACTGCCCCGAGCCGGTAACCTTTCACTCCTGCTCTGTCTGCAAGTTCTCTCTGATGCAAAGAACCGAAGAAAGTTTTCTCTCAAACTGTAGACCAATTTTTGACACGTCTGTCCTGCTGAGGGACTGAGTCAAAAGCTGGGGACCATTGGTAATGGAGGTGTGTCCTCAAGCTCTGACAGACTCAGTCCAATCAGCTAGGAGACAAAATCAACCTATTCCTGGATGCTATCTCCACCACAATGGAGAACTTTCCATTCCATTTTTTATCCTATTGCACAAGTTAATATCTCTAATTCTAATTCAAATGTTCCCAAGTACAGTTCATTAAGACCGTATTCTTTTGGCCACGTTAAAACATGCCAGTTCAGAGTGGCTGACAGACGATGGCTGAATTCACATTTCATGTCAACCTAGGATTTTTTAACAATACTTTCTTGAACAAGTTTTGTAGTTCATATTGATAAGTCACATTGGATCCTACATTATGTTAAGGAAAAAAACAATAACCCCTAAATCACAGAATGATTTAGTGAAATTGTTTCATTTCTAATCTTTCCAATAATTGGAATCCTCTAGCTTACTTAAATCAATTTTAAAACAATTGGCTTTAAACCTTGGCTTTAAGTATCAAAGTATTTAAACAAGTTACTACTAATTTGCTCCTTTCATTAGCAACTTAAATAAATATCATTGTACAATCAAGATTGCTTATTAGGTTGAGATTTAAATTTTAGTTTGATATAATCAATGTAATTCTATATATGTCATACTCCAGTTCTTAAGTTACACATAATTTTAGAACTAAGAGTTTACTGAAAAGGATGAACATGACAAATATATAAAAAACCCACATTAAAAACAAAACTTAATTACTATCTTCTGAGAAACAACTGAAATAAAGTTTGAAATGAATAATCCTACTGTTATTAATAGATTCACAAATAAGTGCCTTTAATTACATAGTTCAGTAAATTTTAAGCAGCCGATTGGAAAATATTTTATTTCTAAGAGAATTATCAAGCTACAATTATTAGGCTACTTTTGGCATTTTGCTTTTATCACCATCTAGTGGAGTTCTCAAAATATGCACTCTAATTTCACCAGGGCATGGGTAAACTAAGGTACATTTTTAAACCTACCAAAATAACAGTAATTATAATTATCTTATTAGGACTAAAATGAACTAAAGGTATAAAGTGACAAAGCCTGTTTTTGAGATTATTTAGAAACGATACCAAAAGTCACTGAACTTCTGAAAAACAAAAAATTAGAAGTCTCAATAAACATTCATGTTGTTTACCAAAACCTAAACATGTTGATTCCATTAAAATCGGAGGCAGAAATTGTACATATCAACATTTAATTTTACCCCCTTATGTACCCGTCTCATAACAGAAATCATAATTTAGAAATTCTTTCCTTACAGATTTTTGCATTTCTTTCCTAAAATGGTTGTATTCTTCCTTCAGTTTCTCCAAATCCAGCTCCAAATTGTGCATCTTCAGCTCATTGTTCAGTTTGTCTATTTCCCAGTTAGATGGGTTAGAATTGAAACTCTTCATCACTGAAAGGAAACAAGACCTTTATTTTCTCAGTCTAGTCAAATTAGATAATGAAAATAGAGCTAAAATTCATTTTTCATATCTTTCTGTGAATATAGTGATAAATTTGAATCCAATCTTACTTTTTATGTATAAAGTTTTTCTACCAATCATCAAGTGAGTATGTTAATAAACTATCAGCAAATGAAGAGTTCACATAGAAATGTACTGTAATTGTATATGTTCTCTAATATTAATCTATAAAAAGACAGAAAATCTTCAAGTTCAATACATTACCAGTTTTTTTAAAAATTAAAAAGACTGAATACTGTATATCATTTTATAACAAAATGCATATATTTTACAATATAAAAATCATTAATCCTTAATAACAATCTCAATCAGTGAATTTTTATTTGGGACTTTGAAGAAGACCGGCATAGCAAGCCTGTAGAATTATATCCAAGGCAACAGTCATCCAATATTAATGAAGGGGTTTTTAGTTGTTGAAGCTTGAGACTAACACACCAACTGGATAATCATGATAATTTATTTTATTTATTTATTTATTTATTTTATTTTTACTGTTCTAATAAGCTAACCGATTCTGCCTGGCATACAACTCCCCAATATATAATTGGCATTAAACCAGTGAATCAAAACAATATATTGTAATAGCATAAAACTGAAACAGAAAATCAGTTCACATTTAGGAGTAATGGAATGTTTAGAGTTTAGAGTTTATTGGATTTCTATACCGCCCTTCTCCCAGGGGACTCAGGGTGGTGTACAGCCACCTTAAAACACATGAATTTATAAAATTTAAAACCAATTAAAACAAATATATACAATTTCGCCCTCAAATTAAAACACACATACACCCACTTAAAATTCATATTAGGCCAGTCTGGCTTGCTGAAACAGGAAGGTCTTTAGGGCACGTTGAAAAGTACGCAGGTCAGGGCTAAAACGAAGCTCTAGGGGCAGCTCATTCCAAAGGGCTGGTGCCCCCACAGGGAAGGCTCTCCCCCTGGGTGTCGCCAGTCGGCATTGTTTGGCCGACGGCACCCTGAGGAGCCCTTCTCTATGGGAGTGTATTGGCCAGTGCGAGGTTGTTGATGGCAGAAGGCGGTCTTGTATGTATCCCGGTACTAAGCCATGGAGCGCTTTAAAGGTGGTGACCAACACCTTGAATCGCACTCGGAAGACCAACGGGAGCCAGTGCAGCTCGCGCAGGAGGGGTGTTACATGGGTGCGCCGAGTCGCACCCATAACCACCCGTGCGGCCGCATTCTGGACCAGCTGGAGCCTCCGAGTGCTTTTAAAAGGAAGCTCCATGTAGAGAGTGTTGCAGTAGTCTAGACGGGATGTGATGAGGGCATGAGTGACTGTCCGCAGGGCATCCCGGTCCAGAAAGGGACGCAACTGGTCCCCGTTACGAGCGTTCCCTTAGCAAATGCTCGAAGTTATGTGATAAGCGTTCCCTAGTGTTTACAAACAAGTCCTGAAATTATGAATATTGCAGCACCACGGCAGTTGTTCGCTCTTACGAATGACCACAGAGGCTCTGCAACATTTGCTCCATCTATTTCCCCATTCCCCAGCTGGGTCTCACTTACTTTGCGAAGATCTGCTCTCTGTTGCGGTTTCTTTGCCTGCTTCATTTCTTCAGGCTTTCAGTGCATTCACAGAGGCCTAACGTACCGTGAGATCATGTGAGTTCAGTAGCGCAAGATCTCTGCTATTGATCTCGTGTGATCTTGCATTTTAGGCCTCTATTCTCTGTGAATTGAGGCCTGGATGTTTGCAAATGAATGGAAGGCTTTGGTCCTTTAGACCTTTCCTCCATTTTCTGTTTCTGTTTCCTTGCTGAAACCTGCAGGGAGATTGTGTTCCTGTAGTCTTTGGCAGCCCTTTGCAAAAAGCCTTTGTTGACACCAGCAGAGCTTGGGACGGGCAAACACCCACCTCTGAAGCTCTGTTCCTCCCAGCAAAGGCTTTTTAAAAAGGGCTGCTGAAGCCTACAGAGACGCAATCCTCAAGTCCTTTGCCGATGAGAAAGGAGGCCTGGAGGAGCATGTGCGGTCTTCCGGGCCTTCTTTCTCGCCAGAGATCCGCTTGACAAGGCCTCTGGCAATGAAAAAGGAGACCCGGAGGCCCATGCACAGCCTTCCACCTCCTTTCTCACCAGAGATGCACTTGACAAGACCTCCAGCAATGAAAAAGGATGCCTGTGCGTGGCCTTTCGGGCCTTCTTTCTCACTGGAGATTTGCATGATGAGACCTCTGGTGATGAAAAAGGAGGTCTGGAGATCTGCACGCGGCCTTCTGGGCCTCCTTTCTCACCGGAGATCCACTTGACGAGGCCTCTGGCGATGATAAAGTAGGCCCGGAAGGCTTTGCTTGGGCCTCTAGGCCTCCTTTTTCATCACTGGAGGCCTCGTCAAGTCCTTTGCTGATGAGAAAGGAGAAAACAAGCAAAGAAACAGGCTGGAGAGGAGACAGATCTTCATAAGGTAGGTCACCTGGATGGGGAAGGAAGCAATTGTGGGAACCGCAGAGGAGAGAGAATGAGGTATCTGGATCAGAGGAGGCCTTGGGTGGTCTTAAGCAGGTGGCCTGTTCCATCACTAGGTCCCCCCATGGCCTCCCGCACCCCAAGATATGTCATATACAAGCCGCACATTCGATTATCAAATGGGTGGGTGAAAGCAGGAAGTGATCTCGCTCAAGGTACAAGATTTACTCCCATGAATCCTCAGGCTATGAACGGAATGGGCAGGCTTCATTACATTCGTAACTCAATGACTATCTGTAATTATAGCAAACCTCCCACCTGGCTTGATGAACAGCCAAATTTGAATGTCAGGGAGATATTATTCCATGGAAAGGAAGTAATGACTAAGAAGCTGTGGTTTCATGGTCCATGAAGACTGCCATCTCAAACAGATGAAACACATAAACAGTCTGCCATTAGATCTTATCAAACAGCCAAATATTGCTGGGATAAGAATGAAACTTTTCAGCATAGTTTTAATGTATCACTCCTCTTTATTTGCTTTGGGATGTTCTGGGTATTTGAAAACTATATTCTTTTCTCTTTTCTGATTAATGATTGAAATAATGTTATTTGAATTTGAAATACTGCTGGGAAAAGATACTCCTGTAGATACCAGGTCCAGACCACATTCTCCAAGCATTTGACAACTTAACTTACTCAGCCAGGAGCCAAAATGTAAAGTTGGGTATTATCTGCATTCTTATGCATGCTTATTATTATATCAGCAGTAAGGATTTTTTAGCTAAGTCTAGAAAAAATATATGGTTCCTTGAGAGGAGAGTAACCCCATCTTAAGACAAATATATAATTACTACTAAAAAGTTTTTTTTCTTCACAAATCTTTCATCAGCAAGATTTGTTTCTAGGGCAGTGTTTCAATTAGTAGTTTCTTTTAAAACTAAAGTATAGTTTATACTATAATATAAATATCTGTTTAGACATTGGAGTTGTCTACAACAAGACTGGAATGGAATGTATTGGGGTGAAATATTTCAGAGTTTTATCAGCTATATATGGGTATCACCTAATAGATATTTTCATGATACATGTAAAGTTATGATAGCATTAAGTGATGCAGAGATGCAATAATGGATTTTTGTGGCCAATAGAGTCTCAATCCAAGAAAAAAATGCTAGTGATAGATGGTTCTTTTGACCAAATTAATAGTCATTCTGTATTTGAGAAGACTATACTCCCCTCCACAAACCTCAATAAGAAGTCTGCAATATGTCACTGATCCAAGCCAAAACTGTCATAAAAAAAATAAGCTGTCTCTGAAGCAGATTGGTGTACTAGCCTCAATCCATCTAATGAGAAAGAAGTGGAGTTTTGTGAGCCACACTGAAATAATTACTGAATTATATTGCTCCTAATTGTGAATCTGCCTTTAAAGATGGCTCAGCAACTGCACTTAGATCAAAATACAATCACAAGTTGCAGAACTGGGACATTTAATGATTTAACATATTGCTTGTATGTTGCCAACTATAAAATTAACCCAGTTTATTTCAAGGCTCAACTCAAAAGTCCTTGTTTTATTACTAAAACACAGTAGTTTAGAAATGTAGTATCTAAAGTTTCCTTATCTTTTCATAGGTACAGTAAGAATGAGCCTGATTCTTTATGTATAGACGGACCTACTTAGAATTGGCTCTTGCTTACAGAATTCTCTCTCCAGTGAGATGGGCCCATACCAGCTAGGATGTTGCTCTTGTACCAACTTAAGACATTTACAGATTAAAAGAAATGTTTGCACTAAATTCTCACATGTTCTGAAATTGTTCTAAGATGCATACTTTGTTATCATTATTTGTTGGATTTATATCCTGTTACAGCCACCGGTGAGCTTCCATGCTGACATATGAAGTTGGGTCTCCCAGTCTTAATCAATACTTCCCAATACCTTAATCACTACTGAACATTATATCACACCAGTAATAATCATGCCTCAGTTATATAAAAATTAAGTTTAAAAAAAGGATTGCAGGTCACAGCACTTGGCATATATGGATACTGTTATAGATAGACAAAGTGCACCTTGTTGAGTTTCCACTTCTGTTCTTAGCTGTAAGAGTTCTACTTCTTTAGACTGCAACTGCTCATTCAAGATTTTCACATATTCCATGTTCTCTTTCATCTAATTTGAGAAATATATAAATTATCAGGGCTTCATTATTATTCTAGTTGAAGTCTGAGTCTATAGATCAGTTGATTCTTCATAAAGATTTGGCCGAATTACTATGCTACTTTTACTATTTCAAAAATTGGAAAAGAAAATAGCATGTGATTATTTATGCACCCTGAAAATATTGTTTTGTTTTTAGAGGGGAGAAGAAAAATCTTGTTAATTACTAATAATCAATTAATTAAATAATATATCACACTGAACTCAGCTAGCAGGCATGCTTTCCAAATGTATCTCCAGCTTTTCATTCAATCTATTTTTCATTTTACAAAGTTTTTGCACTCCACTTAATTAAAAAAAAGATATATAAGGTAGTCCTTGATTTACCACAATTGAGCCCAAAATTTTTATTACTAAATGAGACATTTAAGTGAGTTTTGTTCCATTTCATTCTTTCTTGCTACAGTTGTTAAGTGAATCATTGCAGTTGTTAGGTTAGTAACATGGTTGTTAAGTGAATCTGGCTTCCCCATTGACTTTGCTTGTCAGAAAGTTACAAAAGGTGATCACATGACCACAGGACACTACAAAGTCATAAATATGAGTTAGATGCCAAGCCTAAATCTAAATCTGTATAAATTTTAATCATGTGATCATGAAGATGCTGCAATGATCATAAGTAACTTCAAATGGTCATTAATCCAATTGTTGTAAATCAAGGACTACCTGTAGTCATTTGAACTGAATCACAGGAGCTTTGACAACCTATGTTTTAATGTGAATCTCACTTTCATTCATTCAAACAGCAAATTCGGACATTTAATATCAGAACAATTAGGAGACAAATGGGGTTACTGAAAAAAAGAGAAAATATCAATGAAGGTGAATGCAGAAATTCAGTATTTTTAAAAATCCAGGAACGATTTAAGCCACACTAAGTATTCCTTAATCGTGTTGTTTTGATGTTTAAAAAAGGATACAAACTCATTTTAAACCCATACACAGAAATGAATATGAATGCTTAACTTTTGCTAGATCATATTCAATGTTTTCAGTGATCCAAACTTAATTTGCTACATAATGTTAAAATACTTTTCTACTTGAGGCTCATGCAACATTCTTGTTTTCTTTTATGCTACTCCAAAAACATACCGTTTTATCCAGTTGACTTTTCAGATTATCTCGTTCAATACAAGATTCCCGATATGCTTGATAAGCTTTGTTAACTTGCTCACGACCCACAGAACTTGTTGCTTCTTCCAAATGGGATTCAAGAAGCTAAAAGATTACAAGATGTGATTTAATCATTATTCAAATACTTCCATTTGTTGTGGCTCCGTTACCTGAGCCTGTGTCATTGGCAGGAGAGGACTCCGAGAGTGAAGGAGAGGAGTTGGCAAGGCCTCCCTCTCCAGGACCCTCCTCTCTGGCAATGCCTTCGGTGTCCGCCAAAGGGCAAGAGATAGGGCCGGGGCCAAGCACGTCCACGCAGCCACAGGTGGACAGTGATGAGGGAAATGAGTCTTGGCTGGATCCTCGGCAGCGTCGCAGAGATAAGCGCGCGCAACAGAAGAAAAGGCGTGCCAGAGATTAAGCTGAGTCACTGGACCACACCCCACAGGGTATAAAAGGGGGTGAGGTGGCCATTCAGACTCTATGACGGACAAAACTAACTATTATCGAGTCACATTGCATCTTTGGAAACATCATTATCGGCCTTGGATTTATTTTACGAACTGGACAATTCTTGACTGTGTGTATTTTGTTTATTGAGTAAAGTTCTTGGCAAGCAGCTACTGAGTTGCTGCCAAGCTTCTTATCGGAAGAATTGGTTGTCTGCCAGTTTATTTAACCCCCGGCTGTCTGTTTGTGTGCGTGTGTGAGACGGGGACAGAACACCATTAAGCGTTTAATGTTAAACCAAGTGAATTACCTTAGTCCCAGCCATAAGTAACAGGTAATGACTTCCAGTAGTGAATGTATCTTTCACATGTGCTTAATTACTTTACACATTACTTAAGATAAAAATTAGTTTCTAAAAATCATACTTACTAACATTAATAATGTTGAACGATATAACCTTGAAAGAAAAAATATATTGCTAAAAATACTTGCCTTTTCTTCTAACAATCTTACTCTTTTCTTTAAGAAAGAATTTTCTCTTTCTGTCTCTTTCAGACGCTTTTTAATATCTTCATAAGCAGTGACAAGGGCAAAATGTGAAGCAACTGATTCTTCTCCTGAAAACACTGGAATAGGAAATTGTCCATCTTGTCTGTGATGAGTGTCTGCTTTTTCACGATTCAGGATATCAATGTCATCTTCAGCTACTTCTTCCATGATAGCTAAATAAAAATAATCATTACATTGTTAAGCATCCAATAAGCAAATACATGCATACATACATACATACATGGTATTTGAGTTTTGCAATTCTGACAAAATATTGGGCTATATCCAATCCTATTTGAATAGTCTTCCATAGAACAACATGATTTCCTCTTAATCTTCTACTCTTCCTGCTACTCACCCTTCTACCATCTGCTTTGGTAGGCCTTCCAACATTCCAGAGAAGAATTGGAAAAGGCTGGAGTGTATAGAAAGAGATTCATCTGCTCTTTCCTTCCATGCCATTCTTCTAAAGTAAAGATGTAATGAAACCTGAGCAACTTTCCAAAAAGCTCCTCTTCCTAAAATTTCTACTTAAAGATGGCTACTTTGAAAAGGAAGAGCACAATTTGGACTTACAGAATGTCAATGTTTTGTTGAACTTTTATTTTAAGATAGTATGTTTATTTATCATCTCATTTTCACATTTCAGTATAATATCCTCCCATATTTTCACTATTTATTTATTTATTTATTTGCATTTCCATGCCGCCCAACTCCCAAGGGATTCTGGGCGGCTTACAACAGAGAATAAAACAATGCAACAATATCCCATACAAAGTTAAAACATTAAAACTTTAAAACGTTAAAATGCATACACTATGTATCATATTGAAAAATGAAGGAAAGGAAGGAAAAACAATGTGACAATGCCCCTCAAAGATGATTTTTTTAAAAAAAAAACCAATATAACCTGTTTTCAGTAAATCTAAGAGACTGCCTACTTTAAAGATAAAGTATTTGGAAGAAAATCTAGATTTCATTCAAATGTAACAGCAATATAAAATACAATTGAAATGTAAAACAAAATTAATTAAACTCCAAAAGTTTAAAAATTTCAAAGTATATAGCCAGAACAAGTGAAGTAAAATATCTATTCAACAAAAACATCTACTTAAAACTTAGCCCCACTAAAAAGTATCATCACAAAAGTAACAAAAATAGAGCTGTTTCAGTCTGCTTTAGCAATATTAGATAGTGGCATTTCGTTCAAAGGCTTTAAGCAGAGATTTACAAAAGTTGCTGACATTTTCCCCTTTGAATAAGTTACATCAATTTCCATTTAGCATCAATTCTTGTCTTAAATTTTAGATATATTGTTAGCTTTCAGAGAAGAAATAGCCAACAAAATGACCCCTTTGACTTGGCTTGAAAAATGGGCCAAAAAGTCATCTATGTTAAAATTGAATAACCCTCTCTCAACAGAAGGGGAAGGATAGAACATCACCCATCTCCAGGCCTCAACAGAGTCCTTTCAACAGCTCCAGGAAGGTTCTGCACTCATTTGCACTCTGATTCAGGTGACCCTGAGATTAACTCCCCTCAAGTGACCTCAATGACTCTCAGAGAGAAAATACTAACAGCCAGATGATTGCAAAGAATATAAATCCTTCTATTCCCCAGCATTCAGTCAGAACTGAAGAAGCTTCTTGGATGAGAAGCCTTTTGAAAAGCACCAATGGGAAAACCATGACCTGGATAATTGTGAATCTAAATAGACATACATAGGACTCTTTTCTCCAAAACAAGTAAACTGAGAGAGAGAGAGAGAAATTCACCCGGTTTCAGTAAGCCGCTCCACATCTAAGGTGGACTTGAACTTGGGTCTCTTCTATTTACCACAACATCTTGATTACTATGTCATTCTGGCTGTTTTGGTGATTACCATGTTAATTATATATTGCCTTCAGAAAGAATATCTAAATTATTGTCACCAGGGAAGTGGAAGTTTATTGGTTTTGTACTGGGCTTTTATTTTTGTAAGCCACCAAGAACCACCATGTGTTGGGTAGCCATATAAATTTTCTGAATACTTCTTTCATGAATACTTAATTAATTAATTGAGATAGCTGGTGAAGTCTGACTTTTTGAAGAGCACTGATAAAAAGGAATATTATAGGTACCTAAAAGTGATCCTTTCAGACAAAAGATACAAATCAAAGAGTTGTATTTGAAAATACTTTTTAGGAAGAGGATTCTATATAATGAAACATTTAAACTTGCTTTGTAACAGGAAGACCAAGTACCAGGCAGATAAGTGGGAGAAGAACAGGTATCTTCAAAATTTTACAGAAAGATGTAAACTTATTACAACAGAATTTATCTTTATAAGTACCAAAGAGTAAACTGAATCTTGAATATGTTCATTTAATTCTGACTGTTTAACCTAACTTTCAAATAAGCTTTTCCATTTCTCCAGTCTCAGTTTTTTTCAACAAATATAATACATTAATTATTTTTAAAGTTATTCTTCTCATTATTTCAATGAGAAGGTGCTGCCATTTTGGTTTCTAACGCTGTTGTTAGAAACAGAGGAGGAGATATAGATAGGCATGGAATATACAAACTAAAAAAAGCATCCGAGTAATTCCTAAATCTTCCTATGTAACAGTGAAACTTAAAAGAACCAAAGTTAAATTTAAAATATTAAAAAATAATTAGGGATGAGGAGTCAATTAAATTGTCTTAAGTCTTTAAAAGAACAAATCTCAGAATAACACATATGTTGAAGCATTTAGATAATAGTACTTATAACGAAGTAGCAATTCCTTAAAATTAAACTTTGGGTATTCATACATCTCTACTTTCAATTTCACTCTTGGTTACCATATATTCTCACTTATTATAACTTCCTTCATACCAAAAATGAAAAGGCAGCAAGCCTTTGCCCATTCCTTTTGTCAAATACCAGTAGTTTTTGACCACAATTGGACCTGGCAGCTCAGTCATTAAGCAAAACAGTCACTTAGTAAAATCACAACTGTATTTAAGATCTTGCTTTAGCTTTCCTTTGCTTTACAAACTTACAAAGATCATAAATGTGAGGATTGGTTGCAAAGTTATTTTTTCATCAGCACTACAACTGCAAACAGTCACTAAACGTGACCATCACTAAATGAGGTATATCTGTATTCCAAACTGAGTGCTTATCCCAACCTACAATTTATTCTGCAAAGCTTAACTATGCCTATTCACAAGCAGCACTGACAATTTCTTGCATCTTTTGTTTGAAATGTACATTGCTATTGGCCATGTTTTAGAAATTGAATAAAAGGACATGTTATCTGGTCTGATTATCCCTGATAACTTCCATGAATGGATTAGCATATTCCCTTTCTGAAATGCTGTCAGATAATGTTCATTCTATTTCTCCTTATTCTTCCATTAACAATCAAATTCAAATAACAAAGATTCTATATACTTCAGTTCTAAGTATATGCAAGGACAAGGATTCTGGTGACCTCTGCACACCATTTCAAAACTGAAAGTTCTAGACATTCAGAGATATTTCAAGGAAAAGTTTATTTATAAATCACATTTATAGATTGCTCAACTCATAACAATCCTAGGCAGCTGTAAATGTGATATATAAACAAAAAGTTTTAGAGAATCTGAATTCTCATAAATAAAAGGAAAAGGAATATATGCTTGGCCTTTAGTATTTTGTGTATCAGACTAACAGTTTACATAAAACAAATGCTCTCATTTCTGGGGGGGGGGGGAATAGCGGTAATTAAGCAATTATTTTCAACATAAAGAAAAAATGCAATCCTGTGCATGCATACACCACAGTAAGATTTGTTAAACACAGTAGGACTCAGTTCCTGTAATGTTTTATTAGATAAAACCCAGCACAGGAATTTTGCCAAGATTAATTATATTGACCTTGCTGTATCTTATTCGCATATAGATCTCATGGTCAGTTTGTGGTTCAATAAATTCTATAAAACCAATCAACGGGTTAATTCAGTGCTGGAAACTCAGTGGCTAAGTAAGCAAAACACTGGCCAGTGCTGAGCTACCCCATCCCAAATTGGGGCCGCTATTTTGCTTGGGAGAAATAGGCCACGCGACCCTGGCCTTTTTCTTGGAAACTTAATTGACAACCCTAGATTGGCGGGCCAGGGAAGAGAGGCCAACAACCAGGAGAGAAAACGCTGCGGAATGCAAAGAGTTACCTGCAGCTAGCAAGCTCGAGGCAGAAATGGGCGGGGCCCTTTCGTCTCCGAACGCACCAATTAACAGTACAGGGTCGTTGCGGTGGGGTGAATAAGAAAGAGAGCCCACTTTAGCTTAGACTTCTCGTCTTCTCCTCGCAGCTCAGAAGCAGATGTAACTTCAACCAAAGTTCCCCACAGCTGCACGATGTCTCTCTTTCTCTTTCCTCCCTTCACTCCCTCAGACTCACCAGGAATCTCTGACTTTCATCATCTCACATGACAGTAACGTGTACAGCCAATAATCTCCTCCCACTTCAGTGGGGGAAATGGGTATCAGTAACGAGGCATGCTGGGATTCGAAGTCTCCTCGCTGATTTTGCGAGGCCGTAGAACCAAAACCCGCCCCGGCAGTTCTGTTCCCGGCATGCAATGGGGGGGGAGGAGAGAAGGGAATTGTAGTCCCTCCGTTCCCGCTGTTTTGTCGGAATGTTACGGAGAGGTATGGTCTTTATTTCCCCTCAGAGGAGAAAAAGCTGCTGGCCGTCTATTCCGTTTTCTCGTTGTGAAATAGCCGCTGTCTATTTGTCCATATCATATACATGAATTGTATAGAAATGTAATAACAGTGTGTCAGTGCTTTGAATAAAAGAAAATGAAACCAATCAAATGAAGCACCAGCATGAACACGTGAAAAAGTCCCTCAACAATTACATCTACAATGATCTAAAAAAAAAAAAATTGAATTGACCTGAAAAGGGGAAAAACAATAAAAATTAATTCTGAGGCAATATTATTATTAAAATTTCTATGTTTTGTATTTTTTTAAGGCTCATGACATTTGGATGCTTGAGAGATTGCAATTATCCATCTATAATATTGGCTTAAAATTGATCACCAGTATAACTTAGATTAGAGCATTGTATATGGTTGGAATTAAAATGTTACAAAGATAAACTTTTACATGTTTAGGAAAACATTTCAAAATTGAAGCAATATCAAACACTTTCCAATTGAGAAGGCAGTTGGAGAAGAGCTTCTGTTGAAAATGTTAAATTATAGAAAACTGCATATGGACAAACATCAATTTATTTAATGTAATCTGTAGGCTTCATTTTAGAATTATTGGTTTAAAACATAAAACAATATGCATCAACATTCTGTACATATATTACATATGCACATATATATGCCAGAATAATAGTGTAATGTATATATGACATTCTGAGATATATAATTCATTCTGAGATACGTTATATAAGGTGTGCATATGTCACATAATACACATACCTACATGCATTCATACATGTATTCATAAATCCATGTTATGCTTTCATCACTAAACTTTCAGAGGCTGATATTAATTGCAGTAAGTAATCTAAGGTCAAAATAATTAAATAGGAATTTTGTACAAAAAATATAGTCATTCCAATTCCAATGAACCAAAATATTTTAAAGCAAAAATTTATTCTTGGCCAAAATGTAAAGGTAGAAAACAATACTAATCATAGGATGTCAAACTCGGATATATGAATATTCTTTATCTTTAATTCCTTGTGTGTCCAATCACACTTGGCCAATAAAGAACTATTCTATTCTATTCTATTCTTGATTTGTATAAGGACCAACATATTTGTCATAGATGCAATGTGATTTTGCATTGCTTTTAAAGTAATGTAGAAAATCTAGTGCCACTGTAAAATAATGTGTAATAAAATTTAGTAAAAAAGCAGTGAGCTGGGGTAAGAAAATGGTGCAACTAACACATCACCAGTAGGAAACGGTAGGAAACAGGTATCATTAGAATAGAATAGAATTCTTTATTAGCCAAGTGTGATTGGACACACAAAGAATTTGTCTTAGGTGTATGTGCTCTCAGTGTATATAAGGAAAATAAAATACATTCATCAAGAATAAAAAGATACAATACTTAATGATCGTCAAGATTATTAATAAGCTATCAAATTGTACTAGGAAACAAAAACAATATAATTGAAAGATACAAGCAATATTGTTATAGTAATAAGTGGGAACAGATAGATACTAGTAAGGAAGAGAAGAATAATAGTAATACAGTCTTAGTAAATTATTTGACAGTGTTGTGGGGATTAGTTGTTAAGCAGAGTGATGCCATTCGGGAAAAAACTGTCCTTGTGTCTAGTTGTTTGGTGTGCAATGCCCTATAGCGTCTTTTGAGGGTAGAAGTTGAAACAATTTATGTCCAGGATGTGAGGGGTCTGTAGATATTTTCACAGCCCTCTTTTTGACTTGTGCAGTATACAGGTCCTCAATGGAAGGCAGTTCTAATTATCCGTTGAAGCCTGTGTTTGTCTTGTTTGGTTGCAGAGCCAAACCAGACAGTTATGGCGGTGCAGATGAAAGACTCAATAATTCCTCTGTAAAACTGAATCAGCAGTTCTTTGGGCAGTTTGAGCTTTCTGAGTTTGCGCAGAAAGAACATTCTTTGTTGAGCTTTTTTGATGATGTTTTTGATGTTAGGTGTCCATTTTAAGTCTTGAGATATGATAGAATCTAGAAATTTGAAGGACTCTACTGTTGATACTGTGTTGCCTAGTATTGTAAGAGGTGGTAGTATAGGAGGTTTTCTTCTAAAATCCACCACCATTTCTATGGTTTTGAGTGTATTTAGTTCAAGATTGTTCTGATTGCACCACAAGTCTAGTTGTTGAACCTCCCATCTGTATGCAGATTCATCATTATCTTGAATGAGACCAATCACTGTTGTATCATCTGCAAACTTCAGTATTTTAACAGAGGGATCTTTTGAGATACAGTCATTGGTGTATAGAGAGAAGAGAAGTGGAGAGAGCACTCAGCCCTGAGGGGCTTCTGTGCTAATTGTGCAGGTATCTGTACAATTAGTAAGTTTTAGTAAGTTTTATCTGTAGCCTGAAGCTGGTAACCTGAAATTGCTCTACAGGACTGTAGGAAGTTAGCACCCACCCCTTTCCTGGAAGAGTGAAATATTTTAGGAAATATGAAAAAGGCAGAATATTATATTTCCCTGGATGAGAAATATGAAACATATTTTACAGACAAAGCAGCTCCCACCTTCCTGCCCCCCACCCTTTGTCAATGGGCCATTAAGGCCTGGGCCAGTCTATTCTACATAACAAAGATCTGCCTCTTTCAGGCAGAGCCATAGTAGGAATTGCCAAAGATAGGATTAGCCCTCTACACAATAGCAGCAGAAACTCACCACATGTGACCGGGAAGCACATGTGACCATCAGCCAGCAAGGCCCCCACCCCCTGGGAGTCTGACAACCAATCAGGATACTCTTTTGGGGCTCCAAGAAATGCAGAGCCAGAGAGAGCATAAAAACCCGAGGATTTACTGTATCTGCCCTTTTTCTGTTCAGGAACTCAAGCCATGTGATCCTGTCCACCATTAAACCATCTTTCCAAGCAGTCTCCATGTTTCCAGTGTCTTTTTCCCCACTTGGAGCAGAACCTAGAAGGATGTTTCTTCCAACAGGACTTATCTAAATCATTCCTAAATTGACTTTACAGCCACTTGATCATTACCTTAGCAGTAGAGTCAGTTTAATGGGCCCTTTTCTTATTAGAAAGAACTGTTGCCTAAAACTTTCATCCCAGGCTCAGTCACCCTAGCAAGGGAAATGTTGACTTCACTTTTGACAGCTCCTAAGAAACCCAGTTAAGACAGTAGGCATCAGACCAACATTATTCTGTAAATTTCTACTTTTTCTTGTACAGAAGGCTAGTCTATTAAACTCTAATATTCTTAGTTTTCAAGTTCCCTTTCATTTTGTTCACTTGTGTGAGGATTTTTCTCATTATAGGACTTGAAATAGCTCAGGATAGTGTTGGAAGAAAAATCAAGTCCAATTCCAAGCTGGGAGAAAGACGCTGAAATAAAATGGAGGCAGGCTACAGCAAAGGTCTCCATTTATTTGGTAGCCAGAAACTTCAGTGACAGCAGGATGTTTCTGGGGTGGCTGACAAAATGGAGTTGAGAGTAGAGGGCTTTTATGCATTCTTTTGGCCTTTGAGATTGAGATGCCTGTTCCTGTGCAAGAATATGTCCTTTAATATTTTAATGGCTGTTGCCAGATTCTTATGGGGTCAAGTAGGGGCATAGCTGGCTCTACAGGCAAAAGGGGAAATGCAAATCCTAGGTGTTTTGTTTGTCTGAGCTAATAATAAATAAATAATAAACAAACAAACAAACAAATAAATAAATAAATAAATAAATAAATTTATTTCTGTACCGCCCTTCTCCCGAAGGACTCAGGGCGGTGTACAGCCTATTAAAAGCACAAAGACAGACATCAGTTAAAAATAATTAAAATTATTAAATAATTTCTGCTCAAATTTAAGACCCCAAAATTTAAAACACCCAATTTAAAAATCATTACATTGATAGCCCGGCCTGGCGGAACAACAGGGTTTTGAGGGCACAGCGAAATACACGGAGGTCAGGTCGGAGATCTTACGCATTTCTTGCCAGATTTGGTTCCTTGCCTATTGTATTGCTTATTTGGAGTTTCTGGTTGCTCTTTGCTTATGAATAGAGTGACCCAGTCTTTCTGAATAGATACAAAATCTCCATTCCTAATGATTAGCCTCTTCATGCTTCTGCTTGAGGCTCTTTTTTCTATAGCAGGAAGACTGGAGCTGCTTTCTGCCTTTAAGAAGATGTCTCCTCTTTTCCTTCAGGAGAAATATTCTATTTTTCTTTGTTTTAATATTAAGAATAAATAATATTTTATTCTGGGGAGGGGGGCCTTCCTACAATAGTGTAGTGAACTTCATTTATTATCTTCTTTGTTTTTATTATTAAGACTATAATGGGTCATTGTTAAATTGTTCTTGTGAGATTCAGTTAATAATGGAGCCATGGTAATATGGAAATGCTATTAGATCCAGGTTGAAAAGCAAAAACTATTTGGCTTCATTGTTATCTTTAAACAGCTGCTGAAATGCTGCATTAAATACTAATGTGATGATAACCCTTATTGTTTCAGACTCTTCAAATCTGACTTTATAAGCTTCTATTTGCAACATATGCCAGCCATTCTGTGTGAGATAGGATATTTGCTGTTTTACAAGCATGCCAAATATCTCATGTCAGCTTTTCAGAACACTATTTTTGCTTGTTCTAGGCCACATATTAAGGATCTGTTTAATAGGGCTAAATGAGCTTCACAATTAACCAGCAAGAAAAGTGCATGCAAGCATAATCACAGAAGCAGTTTGCTTTTCATAAAAGCAGTTATTTGACCTGATTTCAAAGTTTCAATAGCCACAACTGTACAGTCATGTGATTGCATTTTGGCAACCAGCTCATTTTAGAATCATTTGCAGAGTCGTGACTGATTTTTGACAGTTTTAGTTGATTTCTACTGTTTGCCTCTGGTTTCTAGTGAAAACCAGACATTGGATAAAATAGATATGCTTAATGATCACAGCATTTGCTTAATGATTGCCATAGGAAAGGTGATAAAAATGGTTACCTACCTAATGACCGCAACAATTTACAACTGTAATTCTGGGTTGTAAGTTATAGTTGAGAACTACCTGTACATGAGAACTGTCTGTATTGCCTATAGTCAGTTATGATTGAGAACTACCTGTACATGTTTTCATAGGTTAATTTCTACCCACATAGCCACTGTATTTTTCTCAGTAGAAGTTAACTATACTTAATTTTGAGAGTAGTTAGTGTTTTATTATTATTAACAGTTTTCATAGAAATACAGTTTTCATGAGAATTTGATTAATGTTTAATATAGTTTTTTATGTTTCAGAGGGAACAAATATTCTACAAACTAGAAGAGTAAAGGCCTGTTATATGGATTCTGTAAAAGAAAATATTTTTTACATAGGTAGAACGTGGATACAATGTGAGAACAGAAGCTGCTTAAAATGGAGACTGTTACTGCAAAATGATGTAGGAAATATTGATTCTAATGCATCATGGTACTGCTATATGAATATTGATCCACAGTTTAATAAATGTTCCGTTGCTGAAGAGTATTTTCCCAAGGAGTCTCAATTTCAAAAACATGGATTAAAATATATTTATTCAAAGTTTCCATTAGGAAGCTTGGTTCTGGCAAAAATGAAAACATGGCCAAGGTAAGGTTTTAAGAAGGTAAGCATTAATTACAGATAAATTAAAAAAACATTGTTGTGATAGAGATTACAAATGTTCTTAAATCTTAGGGGACATAATGATTTTCTATTTAGCTTCCATTACAGTCCTCCAATAATTTGTAATATAAACCGTGATGGCACAGTATTGCAGACTAACTCACTGCTCACTGTCAGGAGTCTGATTCTGAAGTTGGTAAAATGAGGATCCAGATTTTTGGAGGTAATATGCTGACTCTGTAAACTGCTTAGAGAGGGCTGTAAAGCACTATGAAGTGGTATATGCTATTGCTATTACTATAAACCAAAATATGTCAGAACAATATATTTATGAAAAAGAATTGTGGTTAGTAAAAGAAAATATTTTTGATAAACCTAAATATTGCCTCTAAATTTGTGAAAGAAACATGAGAAATATAGGAAATATAGTTATAGCATTTTGGGATTTCTCTCAAGAGATCAAATTAACAGCATAGTCTTAATATGCAAATTCATAGGGTGAATGTAATTCAGAGAATCCATCACAGAAGTTGTTGGCAAGCCTAAGAAAGTGGAGCACAAGATAGAAGAGGTGGGCTAGCGGGTCTGTGGATCCTCTGAATCCAATAATTAGAGTTCCCAGTTGGTTTCAGTAGGAAAGTGTATTTTTGAAACAATAACGACTTTATATTCTGAAAAAACTACTCATCTTCCATTCTTAGCAGTGTTTTATAAATATAGGATGGTCTATCTTTCATTTCCTATTAGCTTCTGTCTGCTTTTTTCCTCTCACTTACAATTGCTATAATGGTTACTCAATAAGTCTTTTGTTGATATGTCTCCAAACATATTACTTCTTAGGGAAATAAAGCGCTGAAAAAGATGCCTAGAGAGCGGTTGGAGGGCCAGCCGATCCGAATCCGACCGGACACTGGTGAGGTGTCATATTAAGACCTACCTAGTGGCGATAAAAGCGGCAAAATCTGTCTATTTTTCCACTCTTATCGCGTCAGCAGATAACCGCCCAGCCACCCTGTTTAGGGTGACCCGTTCCCTGCTTCATCTGGGAGCGAGGGAAGACCCCTTACAGGGTAGAGCTGAGGACTTTGTGCAATATCTGCATGACAAAATCGCTCAGATTCTAGAAGGATTGGACTCTAACTGGGTAGTTTCAGGCGGGGTGACTGAGGCGGGCCTTGAGAATGTTATCTGGGAGGAGTTTGATCCGGTGGTTCCCAAGGACATGGACAGGATTCTGGATAAGCTTAGTGCGGCCACATGTTTATTGGACCCATGTCCCTCCTGGTTGGTGCTGGCCTCTCGGGAGGTTACACGAGGCTGGCTCCAGGGGATTATTAACACTTCTTTGAGTGAGGGTGACTTCCCCGCTGCCTTGAAGGAGCCGCCCCGCTGCCTTGAAGGAACCCCCTCCTTAAGAAGCCGGCTGTATTAGCGAATTATCGTCCACTCTCCAACCTTCACTTTGTGGTGAAGGTTGTTGAGAGTGTGGTGGCGCAACAGCTCCCCCGGTACCTGGAGGAAGCGGTCTATCTAGATCCGTTCCAGTCGGGTTTCAGGCCTGGGCACAGCACGGAAACAGCATTGGTCGCGTTGGTTGATGATCTCTGGAGGGCTCGGGACAGACGCTGTTCTTCTGTCCTGGTCCTATTAGATCTCTCAGCGGCTTTTGATACTATCGACCATGGTATCATGCTGCGCTGATTGGAGGGGTTGGGGGTAGGGGGCACCGTGTTGCAGTGGTTCTCCTCCTTCCTCTCTGACCAGTCGCAGTTCGTGTTGATGGGGGGACAGAGATCGACCTCAAGGCGCCTTGTGTCGCAAGGGTCAGTTCTCTCGCCCCTTCTGTTCAATATTTATGTGAAGCCGCTGGGTGAGATCATCCGTGGTTTCGGGGCGAAGTGCCATCTGTACGCTGATGACAGTCAGCTGTACATGTCCACCCCGGACCACCCCAACGATGCCCTTGATGTGATGTCCCGGTGCCTGGAGGCCGTGCGGATCTGGATGGGGAGAAACAGGCTCAGGCTCAACCCGTCCAAGACCGAGTGGCTGTGGCTTCCGGCATCCCAATATAGTCAGTTGGTGCCATTGCTGACTCTTGGGGGCGAGTCATTAGGCCCCACAGAGAGGGCTCGCAACTTGGGCGTCCTCCTGGATACACGGCTGTCTTTAAAAGAGCATATGACGGCTGTGGTCAGGGGGACTTTTTATCAGGTTCACCTGATCCACCAGTTGCGCCCCTTTCTGGATCAGGATGCCTTACGCATGGTCACTCATGCTCTTGTCACGTCCCGCCTGAACTATTGCAATGCTCTCTACATGGGGCTCCCCTTGAAGAGCACCCGGAGGCTCCAACTGGTCCAGAATGCAGCCGCGCGGGTGGTTATCGGGGCGGCTCGGTGTTCCCATGTAACACCCCTCCTGCGTGAGCTGCACTGGCTCCTGGTGGTCTTCCAGGCGCGCTTCAAGGTATTGGTTACCACTTTTAGAGCGCTCGATGGCTTAGGACCCGGGTATTTATGAGACCGCTTCTGCTACCGATAGCCTCCCATCGACCAGTACGCTCCCACAGAGAGGGGCTCCTCAGGGTGCTGTCGGTCAAACAATGCCGACTGATGGCCCCCAGGGGGAGAGCCTTCTCTGTGGGGGCACCTACCCTCTAGAATGAGCTGCCCCCAGAGATACGGCGGATCCCGGATCTACGCACCTTTCATCGCACCCTAAAGACATTTTTATTCCAACAAGCTGGGCTGGCCTAACTCTTTTAAAGTGTTTTAATCTTTAAATTATTTAATTATGGGTTTTAATACAGGGGTGTTTTTTAATTGTGGGCCAAATTAATTTAATCGGATTTTAATATTGTTTTTAAATTTTGTATTTCTCCATTGAGAGTGGAGACAGCAGCCAGTGTGGGTACCACTCATCCAATCAGATTGAAGGACTGAGCCAGCCAATAATTTCAAGTCCCGCCCCTGTTGCCGGGCAGACCCAGCTTTGGCTCAGTCCTTCAGTTGGACTGGCGTGTGGGTCTATAGCTCTGACTGCTTTCTTCTAATTATCTGTCCCTTTGTGGAAATATTGGTGTTTTTTGGATCTGGACTGTTTTATGACGTTTCTCTGCTTCTCCCTATGGACTTGGTTGCCTTGGATTTCGTGAGTTTTTTTCCCTTTGGTTTCCTTGAGAACTTTTAATTCCCTGGTGTGAAGGTTTTGTTTTTTGTTTTTTGTTTTTTTGTTTTGTCCCTTTGGGGACCCCTGGGGGGCTTCCTGGACGTTCCTGCCAGGCTTGGCAGACCTTCGTTTCAGGATCTGGCCCTTCCTTCCTAGATCGCTTCGCCCAGGGGCTTGTAACCTTCGTAGCGGCCGTTTTTCGCGCCGTTTCTGTGGCGGTGGCCATTTTGTCGCCCTCCGCTCCGTTTCTGAACCTACCAGCCTTAAGAGAACTTTTCTGCCTGCGATTGGGACTTTAGACTGCTGGCCTCCCTCGCCCACTTTCCCTGGAGGCTGAATTTGCTGCCCTCATTGCTCCGGAGTCCTTCTCTCCTGTTTGGGCCCGACTTTGCTGCAGCGCTATTTTCGCCGCTCCGACGAACAGCTGAGCTAATTAGGGGCGTTTTTTCGACTGACGAGCAGCTAAGCAGAGGCTACAGATCTCTTCCTTGCGTACCTTGCTGCTACAACGCCTGGGCGGCTTCCTGACTATTTGATTATTGGGATCTTTGAGGTGGGGCTTCCGCCCCCCCCCCCAGCGACAGTTCTAAGCTGCTGGCATTTTCTGGAAGCTGTTGGCATATTCAGGGGCAACCTTTTGAACTGCAACTGACTGGGCTGGCTGTGCGGGTGTTTGTGGAGCTTAGCACCCCCCTTCCTCTGGCTATTGGACTTGATTATATACCCGCTGCTCTGGCCAGCCTCCATTGCTGCCTCCCTAATTGCAGCGGCCATTTTGTGGAGTGACTGCGCTCCCCTGCCCTTCCCCCCCCTTGGAACGTGTATACAGGGCTTACAATTAGTGGAGTTGCCGCGCTCCCCAACCGGTCCTTATCTTGTGACTGCCTCGTCTGTCTTAGAATCCGTCATTATGCCGAAGTCATTGACCAAATCCAAACATGGTCGTAAAAACAGCTCTGCTTGTCAGAGGCAATCGGAGGATGAATCTGTCTCGCTTCATGATCCGGCACAGTCACAAGTTGCCCCTTCCTCTCATGCCCATCACAAGAGCAGGAAGCATAGCAGCGCGCAGGACAAAGTAGAAAAACGCAGGGACAGAGTCCTCACTCAACTTTGTGCAAAAGCGAACTCTGACCTTCAGGCTTCTGCGGCCTCTGCTTCGCTACAAGGTCCTCGACCGGTGACCCCGGACCAGCTGTCTCTCAGGGACTGCCCTGTCACTATCTCCACTTCAAATTTATGGGGCCCTGCTCCAGGGGACCTTGTCGATGCTCCGCTCCCGGACGAGGATGTTCCTGATATTACACCTCCTTTAGCCTCCTCTGCGGTTCCCTTGGTTCCGGTCCCACCTCCGGAGGCGGTAAATCCCCCTCTTCCTTCCGACCAATTGCAGAAGATGATTGAAGCGGCAGTGCAAAAGACATTGGCAGCGGGTCTTCGTCCCTCCAGCTTAGCCGGCTCTGTTCGGTCCGCCTCACCGGAACAGCCTCATTTTGCTGGTCTCGCTCCTTCCAGAGCGCTCCACTCTCCTTCTTGTTCCCAAGCTAGTCACTGCTCCTCTCTGTCGGACGTAGGCGATAGTGACTCTGGTCTGTCAGACGACGAGAATCTGCCGCCTGATCAGCCGACAACTACTGCCCTTTTTCCACAGGCCTTGTTCCGGTCTCTTCTGTTTAAAGCCGTCAATACGGCCCAACTTTCCTCTCCAGCTTCCCAACCTTCTGTTTCTGTACCTCCTGGGACTTTGGATCCGATGTTCGCTGAACCGACCAAACCGATTACAACCATTCCCACGCCTCCACTTTTCCTGGATGTCGTGAAGCGGCAGTGGGCTTCGCCGGGGTCAGCCCCTCTCCCGTCTTCATCTGACCGTACAAATTTCCATGTCGCATCTGAACTGGACACTCTTCTGCAGCTTCCATCAATTGATGCTCCTATCGCCGCTCTTCTGTCTTCGGCCACTGTTCCGGGCGATCCTGCTGAGAACTTACGACCTGATGAACGCCGTGATGATATGGTCCTCCAAAGAGCTCATCTGGGGGCGGCCTGGGCCATCAAAGCGGCTTCCACGGCGTCTTTCTTTAACCGCACCACGTTGTTGTGGCTCCGCCAGTTACAAGAGAAATTGTCGCCGGAGGATGCTCGTATTAAGCATGACCTCAATAAGATTGTAGCAGCGGTTCAGTTCTCAGCGGACTCGACACTCGGCGCGGCTCGCTTTGCTGCAAAATCATTAGCCTCTGCTGTGACGGCTCGCCGTTTGACCTGGCTCCGACATTGGCAGGCGGATGCAAGGCATAAGTGGAAGCTCGCATCAGTCCCATTTGGGGGGTCCCGTTTGTTTGGGGAAGCTTTAGATCCCTTTTTGACCGAAACCAGGGACAAACGGAAGGTTTTGGCGGCGGCTTTCCGCAGGGGGGATTCCCGTTTCTCTCCGTATCCCCCTCGACCCCACCTTCGAGGTAATGATGCTGGAGGGCCCTCTTCCTCCTCCTTTCCCTCGCCCCGTCCGTACACACATTTTGGTAGGCATCGGGGCTCACAAGATAGAGGATTCCGGGGCAGATCGTTCGGGTCTAAACGGCCCTTTCGAGGGGGAGGAGGTCGTTTCATCCGTCGCCGGCGCTAATTACACTGCTAATCCTCCCATTGGCGGCAGATTGGCCATCTTCATGGCCGCCTGGGAACGGTCCACCTCTGATCAGTGGGTCCTAGCCACTCTTCGCTCTGGTCTTGCTATCGAATTTGTCTCCACCCCCCCTGACTCCTTTGTCTGTTGCACGATTTCTCGTAATTCGGAGAAAAAGTCCCTTATGGACGCAGCAGTTCAACATCTCCTGACCATTAGAGCTATTCAACTCGTCCCTACGGGCCAGGAGCATCAGGGTTTCTATTCCCGGGTTTTCCTGGTTCCCAAATCTTCAGGGGGGTGGCGCCCCATTTTGGACCTGAAACGCTTAAATAGGTACGTGGTGTACCGTAAATTTAAAATGCAGTCTTTACAAACTATTCTAGCCGGTGTTCGGAGGGGCGATCTCCTCTCTTCCATAGACCTTACGGAGGCTTATTTGCACATCCCTATCCTTCCTTCCCATAGGCGTTTTTTGCGTTTTTGTTACGGGGGGGTCCATTATCAGTATAGGGCGTTGCCTTTTGGCCTCTCCTCGGCCCCCCGTACTTTTACGAAGGTGTTGGCTGTTTTAGCGGCATCTCTTCGTATCCGTTCTGTTAGACTTTTATGCTACCTCGATGATATTCTCCTGTTGTCCCCTTCTGTTGTTCAGGCAGTTTCGGATGTTCGCCTCACGGTAGAGACCTTGGCAGCCCATGGTTTCTCGGTTAATTTAGATAAGAGTCACCTCTCCCCTTCCACCAGTTTGGTCCATTTAGGGGCCCTTATCGACACTGTTCAGGGTAAGGTGTTTTTGTCCCCCGATAGACAGGCGGGTATCCGTCAGTTAATTTCCAAGGTGGAGGCTTGTAGGGCCGTTTCCCCTCTGGTCCTTTCCCAGTTGTTAGGGAAAATGATTTCTGCCATCTCCATAGTTCCCTGGGCACAGCTGCACGCACGGGAACTTCAATGGTTTCTCTTGCCATTGCAGAAGGCGGGCAGAGGCACATCATCCAGGCCGGTTCCGGTCCCTCCTGCTGTTCGCCGATCCCTGCGGTGGTGGCGCTCCCCTGCCCTGGCTGCGGGGTCATTCTTCCTGGAACCTCAGAGGGTGGTAGTAACTACAGATGCCAGCCTCCTCGGCTGGGGGGCCCATTGTCAAGGTCAGTTGGCTCAGGGCACTTGGAGTCCGGCAGAGTCCCGCCGCCCGATCAACTGGCTAGAACTACAGGCGATCTTCCTGGCTCTCAGGGCCTTCCGGAATCTGGTCTCCAACTCCCACGTCCTCGTTCTGACGGACAATGTTGCAGCGAAAGCGCACCTGAACAAGCTGGGGGGGACCAGGTCGAGGTCGCTTCTCCTGTTGGCCCTGCGACTGGGATTCTGGGCAGAGCGGCACCTTTGCTCCCTCCGGGCAGAGCATATTTCCGGAGTGGACAACTCCCAAGTGGACTGGCTGAGTCGTCGTCGAGTGGACAACGCGGAGTGGCGCCTCCATCCACGGATCTTTCAGGAGGTGTCGCGTCGGTTCGGCATGCCGATCATCGACCTCTTCGCAACAAGCGCGAATGCTCATCTGCCACGGTTCTTTGCCCGGTTCCCAGATCCTCGGGCTGCGGGCGTCGACGCTCTTCGGATTTCATGGCCGGCGGGTCTTCTCTACGCTTTTCCCCCGACCTCACTCCTACCCAGGGTTGTTCGCAAGATCTTATACGAGCGGGCGGAAGTGGTCCTTGTAGCACCTCATTGGCCCCGGAGACCCTGGTATGCGGACCTTGTGTCCCTCTCGGTGGCCCCATCGTGGCGCATCCCCCTCGAGGACGACGTTCTGTCCCAGGGCGCTCTATTACACCCGGACCCCACCTGGCTCAACCTGACCGTTTGGCGGTTGAGCGGAACACTTTGACTGCAGTACATATTCCGCCAGACGTTATTCAGACATTGCAGGCCTCGCGCCGCCCTTCTACGGATCGGATTTATTCTGCCACTTGGCGTGCCTTCTGTTCCTGGTGTTCAGAGTCTGGCGTTTCTGCTCTTCAGCCATCCATTGTGGACATTTTATGCTTTCTGCAGCAGGGTCTGGCTCAAGGCCTCTCTTCCAATACGTTACGCAGGCATGTGGCCGCGCTGTCTTCGGTCCTGGTCTGCGGATCTCTACCATCATTGTCGCAACATCGCCTAATCCGGCGTTTTCTTCGAGGAGCTACGAATTTGTGTCCTCCTGTATTACACAGATATCCGACCTGGGATCTCCCTTTAGTATTGGAGTCGCTTACGGGACCTCCGTATGAACCTTTGCGAACTACTAGTCTCCGTCTACTCACCTGCAAGGTGGCCTTTCTTGTGGCGATAACGTCGGCCCGTCGTATATCAGAGATAGCAGCATTGTCTATCCGTTCTGACCTTTGTGTCTTTCATTCGGACCGTGTAGTACTCCGCTTGGACCCTACCTTCGTCCCGAAAATCAATTCAGTTTTCCACAGATCGCAGGAAATCATTCTGCCTAATTTCTGCCCGCATCCTGCTCATCCCCGGGAGCGCAGATGGCACTCGCTCGACGTACGGCGGGCTTTGCGGATCTACATTAAGAGGACATCTGTTTTCCGTCGTTCGGAGTCGCTGTTTGTCTCATTTCTGCCCGTTTTCCAAGGGTGCAAGGTCTCCTCATCGGTTGTCGGTCGTTGGATTCGGCATACCATCGCCTCGGCTTACGACCTTCGTTCCCTTCCGCGTCCAGCTCGAGTGACCGCTCATTCCACCCGTAGCGCTGCTACGACCGCTGCATGGGCGACGCAGGCACCTTTGTTTGAGATCTGCAGGGCGGCCACGTGGACTTCGCCGGTTCCCTTCATACGTCATTATCGATTGGACCAATTTGCATTGGCGGAGGCGGCGTTCGGACGACGGGTGCTTCAGCGTGTCGTTGCCGGGGAGACGGTTGTTGCTGACCAGCCGGTTCCCACCCTAAACTCGGGACAGTGAACTGGGGTATGTCCCACACTGGCTGCTGTCTCCACTCTCAATGGAGAAGGGGCGTTGGTCCTACCTGATACGCTCCTTCTCGTTGAGTGGAGACAGCAGCCAGACCCTCCCTTATCCGGCTGTGTCTTTTGTCTGTCCTTTTTTCTCTCTTTACTTACCTGGTGGCTTGCTGCCTTCTGTGCCCACACGCCGAGTCAGTCTTACGAGTCTTCGCCAAAGCTGGGTCTGCCCGGCAACAGGGGCGGGACTTGAAATTATTGGCTGGCTCAGTCCTTCAATCTGATTGGATGAGTGGTACCCACACTGGCTGCTGTCTCCACTCAACGAGAAGGAGCGTATCAGGTAGGACCAACGCCCCTTCTGTGTTTTATCTGTTGGCTGTTCACCGCCCCGAGTCCTTCGGGAGAAGGGCGGTATATAAATATAAACAATAAATAGATAGATAGATAGATAGATAGATAGATAGATAGATAGATAGATAGAGCATAGATTTATGCATTTTATTTTTCTCTGGACTTATTTTTGAAAACATTTTATTTTAAGATGGCCTGGCATTCTTTCTCCTGATCCAATTGACGGTCAGTATGTGAAATATGATTTTAATGGAGATGTTGAAAGTCATCATGTAGAGTTTCTGGGGAATCCCCATTCCAGGAGTTGGACTGCCATAAAATACATTGATCCTTATCCTAGTTCATTTAAGGTAGGATTTTTTAAAAAAAAACACACCTCTAGATAAATCATTAAATTAAATTATTTAAATTCATAGGCTGCCTCTTATTTGCAGGTAAAATACTTTTTTTAAAAAAAGCCACACTATTGATGTACCAACAAGCTATGAAATATCAGTTTGGTTTGTGCGTGTGTCATTTACTAAAAACTGATAATTAATATTAGTAGTTTGGGTCCCAAGGAATCTTGATTGACCATTCAATAAATTACAGCTATTCTTCATGTGTCAGATAAATAATTCTTAGGATATTCCAAAGAAGATTAGAGTCCTACATGAAAGAGTTGTGCCATATATTTAAGCTGATTTTAGAAAAGGCCAGAATAGCATTATTGCTGATGCATACTGCATAATTAAGAAATGATACTAAAAAGAAGCCAATATGTTGTTTGTTGATTAAAGAAAGGCCTTCAATTATATTGTCAAGTAATGTGGCTCCAGAATTAAATCATATTTGATATGGAAAAAATATAAATTGAAGCAAATAAATAAAATATTTAAAATAAATATTTGAATAAAAGTGTTAATCTAGTAATATTTGACTAGATCAACCATAACTTGTTCTTTGGAGATTGTTCCTTAAATAAATGGAATGTCAAAGTCGATATGGTTCTGAAAAGTACATTTTTTGGAATTTAAAGCTTCATAGTCTTAAAGTAATTTATATAGATAGTTGCATGACTTCTGAGAACATTTTGCTTAGAGCTTCCCTCAAATGCCTTTTGAGAAAGCAGAGTAGTGGTATGAAGTTAGTTGCACGCTACTTACGTTGAGTAGTTGAACTGTGATGCTCTTTCATCTTTTTAATATTCAGCATTCAGAAGCAGTTTTTAAAGAGCGAATGTCAAGTTCCATAACCTTTTCTATGTTATCAAAATTGAGTGTTAGTTTTGGTGGCATAGAAAAGCTGCTCAAATCTTTAATGCTTTTTTCCCTTTAGTTCAGTAAAGGTTTTTCCTTTTATTGGATTATCTTTTCTGTAGCTAAAACTCCTGCCAATCACTTAGTAATTTGATAAAGTGCCCTTAAATCTCCTCTTATTTCTGCCATTTCCAATTCAAATGTCTGCCTATCAATAAATGGTTTTCTGTCCTCTCTGAACTTTTGAATAATGTCTTCTTTTATTCTTTCTATCCTTCTCTTCTTAGCCCCATTTTCTTGTTATGCAACATTGCAAGACTACTCCTTCCTTCTTTTATCAAATTCAAGGCCAATTGTTATAGGTCTTAGAATTGATTTCTCAGCCACTTTCCATTTTATTAATGGAGATACAGAAAAATATTGAAATTGATTTAAGAAATATATTTTTATTTATTGTTGTCTCTTCCATATACTAGAATCTTGTTCAATTTTCAGAATGCATAGAAAAAAAGAAATGGTTTAGCTTCAACTGTACCAGCTTACTTGAACTCTACTGGCCACCAGTCATGAATATAATAAATATGTGACTTTTTCAGGAGAATCTTTAAAATAGAAATAACCAACTTCTAGAACTTCAAGTTCAGGTATAGTTGAAAAAGTTCTTCCTATTTTATGGACAGAAAAGATGGCTTTGTTCTAATACTAAAATATGTACAGAATTTGGCTGGACAGTGAATTTTATTTCAACATTGAAGACAACACAGTATCTCCCATATACTGTATAAGGATAATGGAGTAGCTTGAAGGCCACAGAAAACTGGACACAGTATAAAAAAAACCTTGTTTGATCTGGGCTGTTTAACTTGATATGTTCTGTGCCTTTCCTTCTCTGTATCTCTTTCTGTTCATATATTAGTTTAGATCAAGTAAGCTGGCTGAACTGGGCCAGTTGGAATGTGGAGACAGGAAATGAAATGAAAAACTCTTGCTTTCTCTTCATCAGGAAATGAGCTAGAATAAAATACTTTTAAAACTTTACCTTTTTGCTATCTTATATATTCATATATTTGCCAGGCAATTAATATTTTACCCATCTTAGGCAGAGAATGAACTGATATTTAAATTGCAAGGCTGTTTTGTTTTTGTTGTTTTTTTGTTTTGTTTTTGCTGCTTTCTCCTCCTCTTCCATTTTACAGACATGAATTGTCTTGAAATGGCAATTATCTAACCACAGAAGCAACAGGTGCATGCTGATCACAATGAAATGTGACGATCTTATATATTTTCTTCTTTAAATTTTACCTACTGCTTCCAATCTCTTGTCTGAGGTTTCTGTTTATTTCTGATACTTTTTTTAAATTCACATATTCACTGAAACATTAACAAGTATAATTTTAGCATTTCACAATATTGCATGCATTATAAAACATTTGCCTTAAAGGCAATCCTTTAGACCTGACCATTTAAAACCTCACATTAAGTATATGCTGTGCAGGTTAAAGCCATATAGCTTAGTAGGCTGTTATTCCTGATCTGGTGTCTAAGATAACACCACCACCCCAAATTATTTGTCATTGTGGCTGAAGATTATGAAAATTACTGGATGGGCATATGCAATCTTTTTGGGTAATTTTATTAAGTATTACAATAAAAAATATGCAAATCAAAAGGATAAAAAGAAAACACTAAAAAATATGGAAAAAAGAAAGAATAAGGATGTAGTTAGTTTACTTTATTGATTAGCCCATGGACCATATCAAAGTGCAAAGTTCCAAACCCAAATTATTGCTAAACCCTGATAAAAACAGTTTAAAATGGAATTGGAATAAAATACAATAATTTAATATATGGATAAATAAAATATGATAAAATTATATTTCAGTGTCACCCCTACAATCTACCCCAATCAGTCCCACATATGCTGATCTCAGCTGAACCATTTTGCTCAAATACTGTACTGTATTAAATGTTGTTTTCAAATTCTGGCCGCACATAAGGTAAGTTGTTTTGTTACAGGATTCCCAATGGATCATTCATTTAGTACAAGGGTGTTAAACTCACATTGTCATGGCAGCATCAGGTGATGTATCAAAACTTTCCCCCCCATCACTAAACCATGGGTGTGGTCAGTGTATGATGCATCCAGCCCATGGGCTGGGAGTTTGACAGCCCTACTTTAGTATATAGACAGAGGTACCTGTCTCTCACACTCTTATACAGGCAACAATCAAATAGGATGTGAACCAGGTCTTCTACCTCTGCTGCTCCGCAAATGCAGAGACATCCATTGAAGGGTATAGAATGGAATCTCCCATATCTGACCATTGTGTAAAGCTGTTCGAATCTCTCTCACGTAAATATCTCCCTTAGATTTTTTGGCAGTTGTAACTTTAAATAGCTGTCTATTTGAAAAGTACATTTGTATTTGCTCAGCCATTTCAAATTACCAACCTTACTAAGAATAGCTATATCATTTTGCACTTCTACATCTTTAATTCTTTGGGCAGCTCTTTTTTTAGCTTGTTCCCCTGTTACGCAAAAGACAGGAAGGCCACAGCTACTTACAAAATTTATCAGTTTAGTAATCCAAGAGGTTTGTGATTGTGATTTTATCTGCTCTAATAAGCATAACTTGGAGAGTCTATCAGTCTCCATTTTGTTGATTTTGTGCCAATAGTTATATTCTCTGATTTTGGATAGTGCATGAATTGTATAAATTCCCAATTCAGCTCTAACTGCTGCAGCAGATGTCCTTAGATTTACATCCAAAATACATCTCAAGTGCTGGGACTATGTTTGTTCTAATACTGTGTTTGAGTATAGATCCCAAACATCTGCTCCATACAAAAGCATAGGGGTAATCTTAGTTTTATATACTTTAATTAATAGGGCTAGGAACCAATAAGAATATAGTATAGAAAAACAAAAGAAATATAGAAAAATGACTTCCCATTTCATCACAATTAATATACAATTTTTTGCAGTTTATCTTTTCTTAAAGTATAATAAATCTCTTCATATCTCACTACTTACCGTATTTTCTGGCGTATAAGACGACTTTTTAACACATGAAAATCTTCTCAAAAGTCGGGGGTCGTCTTATACGCCGGGTGTAGTTCTCCTGTAACCAGGCAGACCAGCCCGAAAGGCTCTGACGAGCCTTAAATGGCTCTGGCGATCCCAGCTCTGGCGATCCCAGCTGAGTTCCCTGCAACTCAGCTGGGATCGCCAGAAACCACGTAAAAGGAAAAAAGTTTTTTCCCTTTTACTCTGAGGATCCCAGCTCTGACAATCCCAGCTGAGTTCCCTGCAACTCAGCTGGGATCGCCAGAACCATGGCTCTGACGGTCCCAGTTCTGACGGTGGATCCCATCCCAGCTGAGTTCCCTGCAACTCAGCTGGGATGGCCAGAGCCATGTAAAAGGGAAAAAGTTTTCCCCCTCCAGTTTGCTTACCTCAGCTGCTAGTCCCAACGCTTGCCTTGCTTTGCTTGCCTGAATCTATTCAGGCAAACAAGCAACTCCCTGCCTGCAATCAAGCAAGGAGTTAGTTGTGGACTTCAACTCCCAGAATTCCTCAGCCAGCAAAGCAAAGCTGGCTGAGGAATTCTGGGAGTTGAAGTCTACAAGTCTTAAAGTTGCCAAGGTTGGAGACCTCTGTTCTATTGGGTAAGTTTTTTTCCCCTTTGGGAGCTTTAAAAAAAATAGTCAATTGGGGTTTTTTTAGTTGTTCTTTTTTAGACCTAGCCATTTAAAGTTTAGGAAGTTTTAAATTTAGCTTTCATATAAAAATAAAAATAAAATAAAATGAAACAATATTTGTGCAGCTTTCTGAGATTTAGTGTGTTTCTGTAGTGTTTCACTCCAACTACACAAACACACAAAATCTCACAAAGCTGTATGTGGAATTTTGTGTGTGTAAAGTGTGAAAGTTGGTTTTTTGGACTTTTTGTGGCTGTGTGAGGTTCCTGCTTGTTGCAGGGGCCATTTTGGGTCTAGCACAGCTGCTTTTACATTGTGGGTGAGCCAGTTGTGTTGTGTTGTGTGTGTTTCGAGTGTGAAAGTTTTTTGGGGGGGCTTTTTGTGGCTGTGTGAGGTTCCTGCTTGTTACAG